TTTCTTCTTCTTCTTTCATCATTACAATCATCAACTGTATATTTCATTTGTCAATGTGCACCATCAAATGATCATTGATCATCATCATCATCATTTATTTATTATATAATAACATCTACCACCATCCATGATCGCCAGTTTACATTCAATTCACTTTTTGTGTTTTTTGATTTTGTTTTAATTCAAATTCACATGTAACAACAACAACAACAACAACAACAACAAAAACAACAACAAAAACAACGACATAAACAACTTCCAATGATCATCCACATCATTGTCATCGGTGCCAAAACAAAACAAAAAATCAATCGATAATCGTTTTTTTATTGTTGTGCTGGTTTTTTTCTGAAATCAATTGTTACTTGATTCAAAACAAAGTTTTTTTTTTTTCACCATCATCATCATCAAATGAAATAAAACAAGAAACAAAGAAAACAAAAATTTTAAACTTTTTTTTCAAGTTTTTTTTTCTAAATCATCATCGTCATTATTGTTTTATCAGATCAAAAACAAAACAAAAAACTAATCGACTTTTGTCATACTGGTTTTTTTTGGCATCGAAAACATACGACAATCAACTACCAACACCACCACCACCCCACCACGACGACGACGACGACGACGATCTATTATTATATTATCGATCATATCAAAATATTATTGTTTTTTTTTTGGTTCACATCTAAATTCAACTGACATCAATCAATCAATATACATAACAGTAATAGTTTGGTTTCTTTTTTAATTCAGTATATATATATATATATGATTCCATTTTTTCGAATATTTAGATAATCATTTGCTAATGATTCGATCATACCACACACATACACACACACACACACACACACTGGACAAAAAAAAATCAAAATCTAAATGAGATGTACATGATTTATCCATCCATCCATCATTTCATTTGGATTTAAATACAATTTGAATCCAAATTGTATCCAAATCAGAGACAGAGACTGAGAGAGAGAGTTGTAATCAAGATGTATGGCAATGATGGAAAGTAGTATTCAATAGTTTATCAGCTAGTTAGATTTAAATAAAAAAATTTTTTTCTTTTCAAATGATTGACTGACTGACTGACTGACTTACTGACCAACTGAATGATGGCTTGTATCGATGGTTTTTTTTTTTTTTTTTTGTTTAGGTATTGCAACCTAAAATGAATCAAAAAAAATCGAAACACCCGATCATCATCATCATCGTATGAACTGCTTAAAGGCAAATAAAAAAAAATATAAATATCATGTGTGTGTGTGTGAGATTGTTTCTTCTTCGTATTGATGCCAATCACATCATCATCATCATCATCATGTCCATAATCTTCAATTCGATTGACTATTACTTGAAAATGGTTGTTGTTTTTGTTTTTTTTTTTTTTTTTTGTTAGTTGTATTATCCATTACTTATGGCCATTTCCATTAGGATTATCTTTTTTTTTTTGCTTCATTCAATGATTTGTGTGTCATGCAACAATAACAAGCAGTAACAACAACAACAACAAAAGTTTGATCTAAATATTCCAAGTAGCCATTACTTGTTTGTGTGTGTGGTCAATATATTCACCTACCTAATAATTTCGACGATGATGATGATGATTTGATTTGCTAAAAAAAAATTGAATCAAATTATTTGTGATTTCATTTCAATTACAATGAAAAAAAATTGGTCCAATAGGCGTGAATGATAATTCATTCATTGGATTTCAATTTTTATCGATAAAAAATCATCATCAACACATATTGAATGTGTGAAAATGAAAATAATCAATGTAACGGAATGAATGAATGTGATAGATAGATAGAGAGAGAGAGAGAGAGAGAGAGAGAGAAATTCATAATTGACACACACACTCTCAAGACATTTGTGAATTTGTTTTGTTTTTTTTTTTGTTTTGATATTGGTGATGACCAACACCTGTTGCATCCGATTAAAAATGAAAAAAAATCTCTCAAGTTTTTTTTTCATCCATTCACTGATTATAATAATAATAATAATAATAACATGATCGAGTGGTGGTCAATAAGGTAATAATCAGCCATGACCAGCAATGATTATCAGAGAAAAAAGAGTGAGAGAGAGAGAGAACAACAAACAGTGAAACGAGTAAAATGTCCATTGTAATGATAACAACAACAACAACAACAACAACAACAACAACTCTAACGGATCGTGGATCGAATTGTTTTTTTTTCTTTTCATATATATTGTTGTTTATTTATTTATCTACTTTCTTGATTTTCTGTCTGTTTGGTTGATTCTCGTTTTTTTTTTTTTTCTTTTTTTTCATTTCATTTTTTCAACTATACAATCATTCATTCGTTCATGATTATCACACCTGCCATGACCGGCCGGCTGTTTTGTTTCCATAAGAAAAAAAAACATGAACAAAAAAAAAGTGTCGATGATCACATTTTTTGTCTAAAACGGATATATATATTTTTTTTTTGCAGACGACAACCACATCAATCGAATTGAATGTATCAATCATTTGATATTTATTTTCTGGCAAAAAAAAAAAGAAATGTAATTAGACAAATTGATTGATTGATTTGATTTGAATTTTTTTTTAAATGGAAACAATGATGATGACAATGACAGAAAACATTTGGCCAATACAATTTCATTGCCATACAAATATGTACAAGTGGACAAGTGTCAAGGATTGAAATTATCATATAAATTTATTCAACGTTTGGATTTATATCATATTCGTAATTCTTTTTACTGCTGCTGCTGCTGCTGCTGCTGGACATCATTATTATGTGTTATGCATCGTTGAATGATAAAATATAGATTGCATGAAAACGACATCCGTTGCCATATGTGTGTGTGTGTGTGTGTGTGTGTGTATAATAGAATAGATTTTATATACACGAAGCATTCAAGCGTTTCAATGTTTGAATTGTTTTTTATGATGATGATGATGATGGTGACACATCTGTCCACTTTTTTATTTATTTATATGCATATCATCTGTCTGTCTGTGTGTGTGTGTGTGTGTGTGTGTGTGGATAATGAAGGATTTTCGGTTAGTTTTTAGTAAAAATTTTAAAGGAAATTTCACCTGTTGATTTTGATGAGTGATGATTTTAATTTTTTTTTTTTTTTTTTTTTGATTTCAATTATTCTTATCCCTATATATAAAAACAAAACAATCATAAAAAAAATCGGGTAATGAACCTAGTTATATATAAATGAAAAAAAAAAAAAATGCAGAATGTTTATCCTTGCATATCCGGTGATGATGATGATGATCATGATGATGATGATTATGTGCGTAGGTCCGAAATGAAAAAAAACGAAATAAATTAATTACACAAACACACATGCATATTTGTTCTCATCGGAAATTCATAAAATGCAAATCATAAACTCGCACACACACACACACACATGAACGAATATTTTATGTGTGTATGGTGCAATACTGGCCACTAACCTGGATTACAGATTATATTCCAGAATGATTCATTTATTAATTTGTGCACACAGTGGTTGTTTTGAATAAATGAATGAATGAATGAATGAATTCTGGCTTGACGAAAGAAAAAAAAATCAATAAACAAAATGAAACAAAATAAAACGAAAAAAAAAATTATTCCTACAACGGAAATGACAATTCTTTTATGGTTCACTTCACTTTCATTGAATTTCACATCATCATCATCATCATTTTGTTTAAGAAAAATTTCTATCACTGCAATGACCCAGGATGAATTGATCTTTTTTTTTTTTAGTTAACTTGACATTTCATTTCCATCATGGCCATGATTACATAGTGTGTGTGTGTGTGTGTGTCTGAAAATTACGTGAATATTTTTAATTAGAAATTTCTTCATAATCTCCATCATCATCATCATCATCATCATCGTCATCATCATCATTCATTCAGGATATTCTTATATATAAAGATAAAAATGAATTCATTTATATTCACAGACACACAAAATGGAAACACCATGTGAATTATTAAACGATGCGAAACCAAAATTTCATTTCGATAATTTCATACTTTTGATTCTGTTTATCATGTTTTACTTTCTTTCTCTCTCTCTCTCTCTCTCACACACATCGTAGATGACTTTAGAATTTTTTTGCCATCTCGATATTAACAACAATTTTTTTTGCAGATTTTTTTTCCCATACGACTGCCATATGTTTTCAATTTCTTTTTTTTTTTTTTTTTTTTTGGTTTAAATTGAATTTTATCGAAACAAACAAAACAAATTCAAAGATTTATTTTTTCACACATCATCGATTGATTGACATTTAAAAATAAAAACAAAACAAAACAAAAAATAGCAACAACAACAACAACAACAATGAATGGGTGATAAATCTGGAACATTCAATCAAATATCTCAAATCGAATCAACAAAAAAAAAAATTGATATTGTAACAACATTTTCGAATGATGATGATAATAATGATGATGATGATGATAAGCGTTCTATCTATGGATATCAAAACAATGACAACAATAACAATCACACGATCATCATCATCATCATCATCATCATCGAAAAAAAAGTTCTATTTTTTTCAATCAACTCGGGTATCATCAATCAACAACAATGTAGAAGGAATCTATTTCCATAACACAAAATTTTTTTTTCTCACTTACCGTTGTTTTTCACATACACCACCACCAACAATAACCTGTTCAACATTTATAAAGATAATTTGAATTTTATCACCTGAACAAAGAATTTGAATCGATTTCATTTTAGATTCAAAATCGTATCGTATTTCGTTTTGGTCTATCGATTTTTTTTCTCTGTTCATAGCAAGCGAACATTATTGTAATGACGACAATCTATCTGTCCATGATTGATTGATTGATTGATCGATTGTTTTGTTTTTGTTTTGTTCAGTTTGGCTCTATTTTTTCACAAAATAATTTGATGTGTGTGTGTGTGTGTGTGTGTGAATAAAATTTAAAATTTAAATCACTCAATTTTAATCTCATGTTTTGTTGTTGTTGTTGTTGTTTTTTTTTTTCGAATGTTTCGTTCGTTAACACATTGATTTATGGGGCGTATGACAATTACGGATTTTTTTATGATCTTTTTTTTTGGAGAAAAAAAATGCTAATTATTTGCATACCAATGTATTACATTACAGTATTATTGACTTACCTGTATGCTGTTCAATGATGATGATGATGATTCGAATGAAACGATGTTTTTTAAATTCGAAGGAATGTATTACACATCCCCTTCCACAGTTATCCACACCACACCTATTCGATGATCATCATTATTATTTTGAAAAATAAAAAAAAAATTTCGAAATATTCAAATTATAATAGTGGATTTTTCAAAAAAAAAAATTCAAATTTTGTAAAAAAAATACGTTGTATCCAATGAAAATGGACGATATATTTTCATCCTTTTCATGACATAATATGATGATGATGATGATTTAATTTGATTGCATGTTATCATTATTTGTTTGAACAATTGTTTCCGGTTTACACGTGCAACAATTTCGAAATGTATAGTTGAAAATTGAAAATAATTTTTGTAAAATACAACAGATAAAAATATCGCATAATAATCATTGATCATCAACATCGAATCAATTTGTGTATATTGATTTTGTCGAAATAGTCGACCCACACGTACACACAAATACAAAATAATTCAACACAAGACAAGATAGAATGGCGCTAAAAAAGAACAAATCTGAAATTGAAATTGAAATTATAAATAAAAAAAAAAATAGGGAAATACGATGCCATGCTTCATGTTCAATCATTCATTCATTCATTCAATTGTCGAATTGAATTTGGATCGAAATGAAAATGATTTATACACACACACACACACACAAACACGCACACAGAAATGCAAAAAATCTTTTGTCCCTTAGCATTATAATTTTCACGTATATAAATCAACTAATTTCCATTTTTTTTGTTGTTGTTGTTGTTTCATTTTCATTCAATTTAGGATCTTCTTCACCATCATCATCATCATCATCATCATCATCGGCATTATTATTTGGATTGAATCTTCATCATTCGGCTAACTCTTCAACGTTTTGTTTTGTTGTGTGCGTGTGTGTGTGTGCGTTTGATGGAACAAAACAAAACGGCACGTTTTCATATCACTTTCAGTCAAAATAAAAATGAAAAATTTCAATTGTTTGTGTATGTGTGTGTGTGTGTGTCTGTGCATGAATGATATGGCCCGATTTCATTTGTGAATGGAAATCTTTAAAATGGTAACCATTTAAAATGATGATAATGGAAATGAGAAAAAAAAACCTAGATTCTAGATCGAAAAAATAGAAATGAAAATCAAAGAAAGAAAACCTGAAAAATTATTATTTTATTATTACTATTTTATTGTCAAAAATATTGCTGTCTTCAAACAAACAAACAAACAAAACTAATGATGATAATGTGTGAGGAAATGTGTCATCACTATCATTGACAATTTTGGCGTCTGTTTTTTTGTTGTAAGTGCGTGTGAATGATATATATATATATTATAAAAAAATTCGAAGAAGATTTCAATTGTGATCATCTAGATTCATTTTCTTTTCTTCCATTATTATTACTACCATTCACATTCATTTTTGTCACATTCACACACAAATATACCGGTTCATCATTTTTTTTTTTTTTTTTTTTGGACCGGTTAAAAATTAAATAATGTCAACAATAACAACAAAAATGTTTTCATCACCTGTATCAAGAAGATTTGAAAGAGAAAAAGATAATCGAGAACTCGAACTTCGTCGACGAAAATGTTGTGAAACTATCGATTTTCGTTCATCACTATTCAAATCTAATCATCATCATCATCATCATCATCATCATTATAAAAATGTAAATAAATCCTCATTGTACATCATCATCATCATTGTTGAAATTGTATTGATTCAATTGACATTGATTTCGATCAATGAAGTATGGGCAACACGTACAAATCTTCCACCTAGATTTAAATCCGATAGTAATGATTTTGATACACAATCTGAAATTGTTGTACGTGTTAAAGAAGGTGCTTCTTCATTGAATAAAGAAATTTATCATCTTTATGGTGAAGATCCTGATAATGATCCATTGACATTCGGTGTTCTTGGAACACTTGGTAAAGATCTCTTACGTATTGAATCAATATCTAATAATGAAGCCAAAGTTTACCTCAAAAAAGAGCTTGATCGTGAGATACAAGATTCGTATACATTAGTATTAACAATAACTGATGGTAAATTAGGCAAAGGAAATTATGTAAGTTTTTCGTTTCTTTCTTCATAATCGATAAAATTCGATGGATTAATTTTTTATTCTTTTAAAATTAGATAACAAAATCATTGTTATTGATCGTTGAAGATATCAATGATAATGCACCAATATTTCGTCCATTTAGAACGGCCGTACTAGTCAAAGAGAATGCAAAACCTGGAACTTTGATCGAAACATTCGAAGCATTCGATTCAGATGAAGGCCGATTTGGTCAAGTTTTCTATCAACTTGGTGATGAAATTCATGATACTAATTCACTTGGTTCGAATATGTTTTCCATTCAAACAGTAGATGGTATGTATTCGAATAATCAATTGATGTGTTTACTTATTTCTAATTCGTTAATAGGCAAAGGTATTTTACGTTTATCCGGCCAATTGGATTATGAACGTAAATCATTATATCAGATTCGTGTATTGGCCATCGATCGTGCGATGGAAGATTCAAGAAAAACATCAACCGCTGCTATTGTTATTCAAGTGGAAGATGTAGATGATCAACCACCAATATTCACATCGATTCCATCGGTAACAAGAATATCTGAAGATACACCAATCGGTGGCCATGTTTTACAGGTGACCGCTATCGATGGTGATAAAGGTGTGAATAATCCTATAACATATAGAATCATTAAAGGCGGTAATGGTTTATTTTCAATTAATTCAAATACCGGTATCGTAAGTGTTGCTGGAAAATTGGATCGCGAAGCATCGGTTACTGATTCTGGAACAGAAGCAATTTATTCATCAGCAAATCTATTGTCAGCTTCGTATATTTTGGAAATTGAAGCTACTGAAGTAACACATGCTATTTTTCCACCACCATCAGTAACAACCGAAGTGACAATCATTTTAACCGATGTTAATGATGAAGTACCAAGGTTTCGGTTTAAATCTTATACTGCTGAAATAATCGAAAATTCACCATCTGATATGCCTGTAACGTTTACTAGACGTAATGCTAAAAATAATCGAATGGATACAAATGATCAAGCCATGAATAGTTTGCTATCACCACAAGTCTATGATTTGGATCAAGGCAATAATGGAACATTCACTTTACATTTAGAATTGGATGATGATCAATCGTTGGACAAAGATCTGCGAGCACAACTAGTCGATACGTTTTATGTGACTCCATTACAAAGTACCAATGATGCCACATTAAGTGTTAGGATTCGAAATTCAGCAGCATTAGATTATGAAAAACTAAAACAAATCAAATTACGAATGATTGCCAAAGAACGATCACCATCTGCTGGCCATCAAAATTTACGATTCACTAGTGCCGAATTAATTGTTTCGATCAAAGATGCCAATGATAATGCACCACAATTCAGTCAGGAAATCTATTATGGCTCAGTATCGGAGATTCCAAAGCCCGGAACTATTGTGGCTCAAGTTTCAGCCACCGATATTGATGATGGCTTATTCGGTACTGATGGTATCAGATATACATCTTTAAGAGGTGATATTGCAGCTGCACTTTCATTAAATCCAATGACAGGTATAATCACTGTAAAAAATGACACCGATAATAAAGATTCCAGAAATTCAGTGTATTTCGATCGTGAACAACATACCCAACATTTTTTGATCGTAGAAGCAAGAGATGCGGCCGGATTCGGTAATAAAAACACTGTTCAATTAGTGATCAACATTACCGATGTAAATGATCAAGTTCCAAGATTTTTACAAAGTTCATATACAGGACGAATCTATGAAAATCAAAAGCGATTTGAACAAGATTTGTTTGTGAGTGCTTTGGATGATGATGCACCAAATACGGCCAATTCTCGTATACTTTATTCTATCGTTAATAATTCGTCGCCATTTTCACCACATTTCAATATTGATCCGAACTCAGGTAAAATTACCGTTGCTAAACCATTAGATTTCGAATCGATACCTGGTCAAATAGCTGATTCACGAAATATATCGTTCAAAGTCCGTGTACATGATCATGGAATTCCGCCGTTAAGCAATCAAGTTCCTGTTAATATTCTGGTATTTGATCAAAATGATAATGCACCTGTGTTTTCAAAATCTCTATACACAAAATCAATACCTGAAGATGTACGTGATGGATCGATGGTCGTACAAGTTAGTGCCACTGATGCCGATCAATCACCAGCTAATTCTCGTGTTTATTATCGTTTACTATCTGGTGGCGCTGATAAATTTGTCATTGATAGTAATACGGGAATAATTTCCGTTGCAAAAGGAGCATCACTTGATCCAGATAAATCATTATCGATTGGCAGTTCTAAAATGTCCAAAAAATTATGGTATCTTCTCAAAGTGATGGCCATTGATTCGAGTTTCGGTACCGAAGAACAATTGTCCAGTATTGCTACAGTAAATGTGTCCATCATTGATGTAAACAATAAAGCTCCTGAATTTCCAAATAATTTACCTGAAGTTTATGTGGCTGAAGATGCTAAAATTAATCAATTTGTAACACAAATTAGTGCATTCGATCTAGATGATAAACCTGTGTTACGGTATTCATTCGATTATTCACGCTCAGAAGCTCGTAATGATTTTGGCGTGGCCATGGATCTTGCATCATTTGCCGAATCATTTTCAATCGGTCCGATAGATGGTGTAGTAAGAGTTGCTAAATCCCTTGATCGAGAATTATGGTCAATATTGAAGTTACAGGTTGTTGTTGAAGATATTGCAGCCATCACGAAAGGCCAGAAAGCTCGTACAACATTTACGATTCATATTACTGATATAAATGATAATCCACCTCGTTTCATTCAACGATTATATCGAGCAATTGTTCCAGAGAATTCTATACCTGGTACATCCGTAATAACAGTAACAGCTGAAGATCGTGATACGAACAAATCACTTACATATTCATTGGAAAGTGAAGAATTTGATTTGTTAAGATTATTGCGAATCAATTCTACAACTGGTGAGATTTCTGTTTTAGGTCGTATCGATCGTGAGATATATAATTGGCTAAATCTTACGGTTCGTGCTATCGATCATGGTGATCCACCACTTTCTGGAACGGCCGAAATTGCTATCCAAGTTCTTGATGAAAATGACAACAATCCAGTGTTTGATGATGAAAATTTACATAAAGTTACCATACCGGAAGATTCACCAATCGGATCACTAGTTGTACGAATAACAGCATCTGATGCTGATATTGGTGCATTTGGAAAGTTAACATATCTACTTGATTCAAGTTCTTCGTTGGGAAAATTTAAAATTGATCGCGAAACGGTATGTATCTATTCACTTGGTTATTCATTTGGCTATCTATAACTAACTGTCTTTTAATTTTATTTTCTAGGGTTCAATTATTGTGGCTGATCATCTTGATCGTGAACAGATTCCATTCTATAAACTTTTGGTACAAGCATGGGATAATTATGAATATGGTTTCAGTACAGGTGAAAGTCGCAAAGCATTCAAAACATTGACCATCGTTCTGAGTGATGTTAATGATGAAACGCCTACAATTGTATTTCCATCTCCTGAATCTGAATGTACTTTTATCAGTGAATTTCATAGTCAAAATGATCCTGTTGTCACTATTCAAGCTCATGATGCCGATGATCGTATGTTGATTTTAGAATAAAAACAATGAAATATTAACATTTTGTTTTTTTGCATATAGCATCCTTGCCGAATGGTCAAATTTCGTTTGCCATTGTGAATGGTAACGATGGCCATTTGTTTGAATTTTCTCCAAGTGATACTGCTAATAGTGTTGTACTTCGAACTCGAAGTTCATTACGTGGTCGCGTTGGGAATTTTACCATTTTCATTCAAGTGAGCGACGGTGGCTTACCGTCAAGGATATCAACATCACCTATCAAAATTTGTGTGACTGATGTCAACGATCATAATCCAATCTTTGTGAAACCACCATCTAATATGACGATTCGAATTCCAGAAAATGCAACGATTGGGACTCGTGTTGTCGATGTTCTTGCTTTAGATTCAGATCATGGTTTGAATGCTGAAGTTAGATATCGTTTACGAGAAATAGCCAATGGTCAATGGCGTTCGTTTCAAATCGATCCAATCACCGGTGTGATAACTTTATCTAAAGAATTAGATCGTGAATCGGTTAGAGTTCATGAACTTCGTGTACAAGCTTATGATCTTGGAACACCAACTCCATTGTCCACAGATTTAGACATTACTGTACTTGTGACCAATGTCGATGATTTTGAACCAGAATTCACTCAAGATGTATTTCAAGTTGTATTCACAGAAAATCTTTCGCCTGGAAGTGAACGTTATAAACTTTTACCCACCATTGATAAAGATGATTACGATTTCAGCGATCCAAACACTGCTTTCAAATCAATACCATGTTATTTTATTGTTGGTGGTGATGGATTAAGCAAAGATAATGAAGAATTATTCAAATTAGATACTTTCACCCATGAAATGTCGACAACTAAACCATTGGATCGTGAACAAAAATCTAATTATACATTGATTGTACAAGCAACCAATGATTGTTTTCGTGTACCGCATCGTGTTGAACGATTTGATCCGAAAGATAATTCAATGTTACAAGTATTGGTTGGCATCAAAGATGTCAATGATAATCCACCTAAATTTCTTAAAAAGATTTTTTCTGGTGGAATCACCACCGATACCGAATATGGAACAATATTTATGTCAGTCAAAGCAATCGATCCAGATGTTGGTACACATAGTCATGTTAATTATTACATTGTTTCCGATGTACGAAAGTCATTTTCCGAAGGTCTTGAAAATGTTCCATCAAAGCCATTCGAAATTAATCAACGGACCGGTGAAATAAGCCTGAAATTTGATCCACAAAAAGGAATGAAAGGTTATTTTGAATTTGAAATAAAAGCCAATGATACGGATGGCCTGTACGATATTGCAAAAGTTTTTGTAAGTATCAATTTGCAATTCATTTGTTTGATATATAACCAATGCTTTTATTCATAGATTTATTTACTTCGTGGAGATCAACGGGTTCGATTTGTATTACGGCTGACACCGCAAGAATTGAGAGAAAAATTGGATAAATTTCAAGAGTAATTGGTAACAACTAAATCATTTGGATTCATGATACTAATTTTGTTTTGTTTTTGTCAATTTTAGTGTCTTGGCTAATATTACCGGTGCATTGGTCAATGTGGATAGTTATCGTTTTCATGAAGCAGAAGATGGCAGTGTTGATCAGAAAAAGTATTTTTATTTCATTTCTCAAATTTGAAAATTGATTTATTTTATTATTTATTATTCGTCTAAAAATTCAGAACGGATCTGTATTTACATTTTGTGAATCGAGATGATAATAGCATAATGGATGTGGACAATGTTCTTATGTTGATTGATAAAAACATTGACTATCTGGATGATTTGTATAAAGAATTCAATGTATTGATCAGTGAACCGACATCGATGGCCGAACCATTCATGGAATGGGAAGATCAATTAAAAGCTGGTCTTGCTGGTACTTCTGCATTTCTATTCTTGTTACTTATTCTGGTCATTTCTCTGTGTTTGAATCAAAAAAGCCGGTATGTAATATTATCATGTTTTCATATGACAAAAACGAATTTCATTTCATTTTTATAATCATAGATATGAACGGCAATTGAAAGCAGCCACCGTACCAATATTTGGCCATGAACCACAATTAACACGAAGTAATGTTCCAAATACTAATCAACATGCAACAGAAGGTTCGAATCCAATGTGGATGACCGGCTATGATAATCAATGGTATAAAGATGAAGAACGTTTAAGGTAAATAACAAAACAAAACAAAAAAAATCAATGAAAATTAATTTATTGAAAATTTTTAAATCTTAGTAGTGAATCAAGTAGCAGTAGTAGTAGCAGTAATTCATTGGATGAAAATGCATTGACCAATGTTGCTATCGAAGATGAACATTTAAATTTTTCCTCATTGGATACATTGGATCAAGGTGATGTAACACATGAACATATTGCTGTTCGTAGTGAATCATCGGGTAATAGTTCTTCATCAACGACGAATGATCGATCGGTTTTATGTCGTATCAGTAATACATTATCGAAACCAACATCGACTATTGCTTCAAATAATCGAACGATGAATGGTACGGCAAATTTTGGTACCGTTGGACGTCGTCATCAAATGATTACAACAACACAACTATCGAATCCACCAGCACCATTGAAAAAACCGCCAGCACCAAAACCACCGGCACCAAATATTGTGGTCATCAGTGCAACAGCATCATCATCAACGATCAATAAAAATGATCCACGAAATGGTCATTATGTCTCATCATCAAATGGTTCGACAACAAATAATGGGAAATCACCTTGCATAAATAATATCTATATAGAAACATTTTCTAATCATCATAAAAATAGTAATGGTAATGCAATATCGGTTAATAATGGTGGTAACAAACATATACCACAATCATCTACACATGGCCATTATCATCATTATCATCATCATCATTCTCATCCACATCCACATCAACAATCATCAACCACCACTAGTACACAGCCACATCATTATTTTGGAATGAACAAAGGTCAAGATTTATCGAATGATCATGCATATTTACCTGAATCTCAATTGATGAATCTGGAAACAACTGAACTATGATGATTATAAATCTTATCAGATTTTTTTTTTTGACAATTGACAAGAGTTATTGGACATTGCATCATTTTGTCATTATTATTTGTGCCATTTTTTTACGAAATTTTTTTTTCTTCTAAACCGATTTTAAACTGATAAGTTTTTTTTTTTTTTTTATTTGAACAAATGAATGTAAATAGTGCGCTTTTTTTTCTTCCATTTTCCAACAACATTCATCTTTCTGCACACACATATAAACAAAAAAATTCTTCTCATTTCGTTGTAAAAAAAAGAAACATTTTGTTATCATTTTGTTATTCTGTTGTTTAAAGTGAATAAATTTGTATAAATTTTTTTTTCATGATTTATATATTCGCTTTCTGTGATTTGTTTATTTATATTTATCATAATTCAGTTATCATCATCCATTCTGGATCAACATTTGGGTCAATTTAAATTCTAATCATGTGTGATCACACACACACACAAGTGGATGATTTCTGATTTTTTTTTTTTTTTTTTGGTGCAATATAATCTGACCATCATTATTTTTATTTTTTTTTTGAAATGATGATAATGGTGATCAACATCACATATAAAATGAAAGAAATTTTTTTTTTTTTTTAAAGTTGTCAGGATTGATGACGATCTAAACATAGACAAATATATGGTAGTTTTATATTTACAAATGGCATAAATTACAGTGAAGAAAGATAGAGATATCTTGTGTGTGTGTGTTTGTATGGAAAGAAAAGCGAAAACGAATATACAAAGATAGGTCACGAAATTAAACGATCATCATCATCATCATCATCATATCTTGGAACTGTATGGTTGAGAATAACAATAATATTATCTACATTGGGAGAAAATGGCAACGTTTTTTTATTTCTTTCTTTGGTTTTTCAGTAAAATTTGTCCGTTTTTTTTTTTTCCATTCGAATCTATTTTGACATTCCATCAAACCAATCGACAGTTATAATACATGATGATCGAATGAATTTGGATTTGTACTTAATCCGTTAATTATCGGATTAAATGAAATGTTGAAGAAAGAAAATTCATTAATATTTTAATCATATGAATGATCAATGGGGATTGATTATTGATTGATTGCTATTGAAACATATTGAAAATTGAAAATGGTAAGAAGAAAAAAAAATTGCCACGATGATGATAATGATGATATTGACCATAAATTTTCTTTTTTTTTCTTCTTCTTCTTTCAATATATGTTGTTTTTTTTTCTTCAAATCAAATGATTATGGATACTAATAATAAACATTTCCAATTAAATGATCTTCAAATGGGGGCGAAAAATTATATAAATTTGGCCATCAAAAAATAAAATCGCATATATCATGACCAACACCACCACCACCATCACCAGAAGCGTTCGTGTCAAGTTGTCAGAAGTGTATATCAAAGATAGATAGATATAGTCGGTAAAAAAAAAAATTAAAACATACAACATGATTACTTACTTGTTCATTTTCGTTTCTCTCTCTGTGGCATAATTCTATGGTTTTTTGGTCGTTTTCTATGAATTTCGGTTTTTCGGGTCACACTTGTTCATCATCATAAGATATATGTGTCTAAATGACCGGGTCATATAAATGATGAAAACGGTGATGATGATGATGATGATGAGGTTCATTGTTCGATCGAAATGAATTTATGATTTTTTTTTCTCGGTTTTCATCCATCATCATCAGTAAGAGGTGAAACAAACAAAAAAAATAATGATAATTGATGAATGAAATGCAAGGGAAATTCTTCTTCTTCTTCTTGTTGTTGTTTCTAATTACAGTATTGCACGGTAAATTCGAATGTTTGTTGTACAAAAGTGTACAAAAAAAAAAAAAAAAAAAATTTGAGTGAATACCGGCACGATTTTTCGGTATGATGATACATTTGAAGGATTATGGTGAACATTATCGAATAATAAATGCTTGATAAAGAGAAAACCAAAATTGCAAGGCGAGAAAATCGAATTGAAACCAAACAAAAATATCATCAAAATGTCCATGTCGGATTCTAACCACAACAACAACAACAACAAAACAATAAAGGTAAAGATAAAGAGCCCATTTTTCTAATTCACTCTTACTTGTTTTGTTTTATAATTCATTCTCACTTTTTTTTTCTTTACTTCATCTATAGTGATACAATGATTGAATGAAAGATGAAAGGATTTCATTTTGCCCAAAAAAACAAAAATTGTACAAAATAATCCATTGGCCAGTCCATTGACGATATCAACGCCGATATGATCTTCATCATCATCATCTAAGTCGATTCAGCAAATGAAAAAAAAAAAATAATTCTGTGGCGAAAAAAAAAATTTGCATAGATTGTGTTCCGATTGGATCGAAAAAAAATATAGTTCCGGCATCAATCCAATAATATTTACTGTTGTTCAACATATGAAATTGTTTTTCTGTCATTCGATTTGGGGAATGTTTTTGAATGTTTGAAATTTTTTCATCATCATCATCATCATCATCATCATCTTCTATTGTTATCACAACAATCATCAAGGTATGTGTACGATTCATCTATCTTTTTGTACTATCGTACAAAACAAAAATCCATGCATTTGCCAAAAAACATCGATCTTCAAAAGCAGGTTAAATTTTGATTTTGATTTCATAATTTTTTTCGTCGTTTTTTTGATTTTTGATTCGAAATTTCGATGAAATCCAAAAATGGATGCCATTTATTATTATTGATATTGTTTCCCACATTGAATGATTTTCATTTCTGATTTTCTCGACCATTGATCATTTGGTCATTTTATTTCAATAATAATCAAGATTTGTGTTTCGAATTTTTTTTTCCAAATTTATAAATAAATATCAATTTTCTTTTTCTTTTTTTTTCTTTTTCTTTCCACATTCATCACCTCATTCATATATCAATCTATCCATTCGAAAAATTTGACATGTATGAACATGTGGTTGACATTGATGCCACTAATACATTTGAACATTGAAAGGATGCCAAAAAAAAAAAAAATAATGCTTGTTTCCTTTTTCTATATAGCCATTTGTGGTCAAATCATCCATCACCATATGAATGAGGTTGACTTTGATTTCGAATCAAATCGACAAATTAGGTCATCCAATTTTCAATGTTTGTAACAAATAAAAAAAAAACATTGGAACCATTTTCAATTAATTTACAGAAGTGATTTTCGGATGACTTCAGAAAAGTAGAAAATTCAAATCCACTGATAATATAATTCGGAGAATTTTGTTTTTTTCTGTGAACTGGATGATGATGATGATGATGATGAAGAAGTATATAAAAATTTATATTTTAAACCTGTTGATTTGATCAAAAAATGTAGATAAATTTCTTGTTGGATAAATTTGGATATATCAACAACTTACCCACTTGTTAAGTTATATTTCAACAACAACAACAACAAAAAATCTAAACAGAAACAAATTAGATGGTCATATTGCAAAGATATACGAATCCATACCTGGTCGAATAAATCACGAATTGATTGGCAATTTTATTATTGATGATGATGATGATAAGTTTTGTTTGTGATCGACCGAAATTCCTTTGGCATATTTTTATCACATTCCATTCATTTGTTAAAGAAAATCTGTAATTGCCAAAAAAAAATCAATCATTTAATTAGTAATAATAATAAATGGTTGTAATATAATTGTCAGTTTATTTTTAGAAATTTTTTTTTTTTTTTTTTTTTGATAAATGAAAATCTAAGATTGAATATGAAAAAATCTACCTATAGAAATGTAAACATCGAAACATTCACAACAATACAATATCGACATACATACACCCGAACATTTATTGAACAAAAACTGATCGATCAAAATAATGACAAAGATTGATAATCGACCGATTCAAATCGATTTTACATTGTTATAACAAATGGAAAGGATAAAAAAAATTGGTTCAAGAATTTCAACAATACGAAAAAAAAATCCTATCCTATATGAATGGGTCAATGATGACCACTCATTGTTTTCATTCTTTTTTTTTCGATTTTTTTTTCATTTTATTTCCTATTTCAAAAATTTTTTTCAATTAATCTTTCATGTTTTTTTTCTTTCTTTCTCTCTCTCTCTTCAATTCAAGATATTCAGACGATATATAATAATAATTGAACACACAGTAGCACAAATATTCATCATCATCGTTGTAATAAAATTAAAAAATTTTTCCTATACGAAACAAAATGATCATCGATCATCGGTACCGTCAAAGCTGTCGAAATTGTTGTCAAGATACGGAAAATGATGATGATGATGATAATAATAATAATGATAATACTAGCAATGACCAACATCATAACAATCAACAACGGCAAGTTAAAGTTGATTTAATGAAAGAAAATTTTCCACTAAATGATGACCAAACGTATGTTGAAAATTTATGGATGAAAAATTCACATCATTCAACAACAATCAATGGTTGTTTATTGTCTTTAAATGATGATAATAACATCAATGATGGCCAAAATGATGTTAATAGAAGCAATGTTGGTGGTCATTTTGGTCATCGTTTCAATCGTCATCATCTTCAACAACAACAACAACAACGTTATAACAATACAATTGGCATATCAACTGGCAGTTTATCACGAAAAGCGCGTGTAATAGGACGCCGGGAATATCGGCGAAGACTTGGAAAATTTGGAATTCCAATAATAACAAATCATAAAACGATTACTACAATTTCACCATCAAATAATGACATCATTACTAAAACAACCACAAACAAAAGTGTCGTGAATACATTAATACCATCCACAAATCGTTGGCGACAACGACAAAATCGTCAAAAATGGCTACAATGTCAACGATTACGGTTGAAAATTCCTGATGGATTTAAAAATCTTCAAAAATCCAATTCATCTAATTTTTCAGAAACAACAAAAGGTATGTGAAATTTTTTTTTTATAGAAAATTTTGTTTCGACTATTGCACAATCTATTAATAACTGGCCGATCCATCATCAATTGTTTTCCGGTCATTTTGTTCAATGACCATTTTTGAAATTTTTTTTTCCACATTTGTTTTTTTTTCTGTATCATTGATGTTGTTCACAATAATACATACACATCCTTAATCTGGGTTATTGTTATTTGGTTCGATTG